AAGTCCTGAGTGCTCACAGAGGTAATGCTGTGCAAAGCCCTATTTCTCCTGGCATCTTAAATACCTTTAATGCCTGGGGAGAAATAAGTCTCTTCTCCCTCCAGCATGAAATGACTTTCGAAGTGGATTTACAGGCTCCAGACTCACCTCCCTTATGTCTGATCCTAGCTCTTCAGTGAAGGCAGAGTGGAAACACTGCTCATCGAATAATAAATTGCAGGCACACGCTTCCCATAGCAGTTGTTTGGAAGGTGTCCCACACGCCTTGTGCCAGATTTGCTGGCCAGGGAAGCTCAGTGGTATTAGCATGTTCCAGTTAATTAGGGTTGTGAGCCGTCCTTTTCATCGCCTGAAGAGCTGAAAGAAGGACAAACTTAGAGCACTGCCTTTATAAGGCTTTGTGCTCTCCAGCTTGGCTTGTGTGTGCGCTGTGTGTACCCTGGGAATGCTGCTCTGTCTCCTGGGGTCTCAGTGTCAGACCTCTCAGTGTCAGACAGTGGCTTCTGAGTCACGTTTTCTAGGGAACACGGAGCCAGATGGATTCCCAGCCAAGTCTCTGGGTTTGTATCAGGAGTGGATCGGACCCTCCTGCCCTGGTGTGGAAGGCCACCAGCAGCACTGGTGTGCACTGACACTGCTGCTGGCACAGCACTGAGCATGGTGTGGATAATCTGCTGCTTGCTGACAGCTAATGTGGGTCCCCGCAGGGCTGGGAAAGATGGAGCAAGGCAGTGAAGTAGCAAATATGATCCTGTTGTCTCTATGGCAGAGCTGAGCACCAGATCTCAGCTCCTGGAAACCCAGTGCCTTCTGGCAGTACCAAGTCCATGGAAAACGTGCCAATGCCCTGAATTTTTCCCAAGCGCTTGCATCACCTTCAGTCTTGACACTTAGGTAGAGTTCAGGCTGGGGCTGCCATCAGCCCATCCAGCTCTGCCTGCTCCCATTGCCAGAGTCCAGTATTAAGAGTGCTGTTTGTCATCTCAGGAGTGACAAAGTGGCCAGAGATTTGTAACTTCATCATGGGTCTATGAAGTATTCAGCCTGGGAGAGCAAGACCATGGTCGCAGAACACGGGCAACTTAGAAATAAACCCCACTGGGCAAAAGTGTCATGTCAGCTGTCCTAGCAAGGCTGCTACTACTGCATACCCAAGCACCCAGCCTCCTGTAGTGCATGCAGCCCACTGCTGCAGGGGTGTGTTTGCCAAAGTGAAGCATTTTTATCACCTCTTCCACATACAGGGAATCAAGACACATCAAATAATCTGCCCAAAGGCAGACAGAGAGTCTGTGACGGACCGGGAAACATTCCCCTTCCCCAAAACTCAGCCAGATTTCTAGTCTATCCAGACAACTGCTGGTGTACAAAGTACTGTATTTTTGCAATCCTGTCTCTGAAGAGCTTATCTGACTGCAATTATCCTCTTCTGCAGAAGCTGTTTTCTACCTGGCTCAGTACACAAACAACAAGCAACAACCCTCTAATAAATTAGTGAAGCTTTGAGTGCAGTGACTTGCAGAAAGCACAGCTAAATGAAGGGGCCAGTTCTGGGCTCAGAGGCTCTGCTGTGTGTCTGGAGGAACTGAGCTGCCCAGAGTCCCTCTGCCCCGATGTGAGGATGAAGAAGGAGATTTTGTGTGTTGGAGGAGATGGAGGGGTAGGAAGAGAGTTCATCAACTTATATCAAATGGGCCCTGTGGCTTTGCCCAAAGCGGAGCCCTGTCCCTACCTGCTCCTAACCCTGCCAGGAGCTGAAGTGTGGCCATGTGTGTCCTCTTCAGCAGGACACAAACAAACCCTGTTAATATCTTTCCAAACTATCTCCTTTTTCCCAGCTCACTGACTCTCACCCTGAAGACAAACTCAGCATCCCTGTCTTCTGTTTGCCCTGGAAGAGAGCAGAGATTTGTCAGTCCCAGGCCAACCCATACAGCTTGTCTCTTCTGCTGCTTCTCCAGTGCCTCTCATGGTGGCATAAGATCGCTCAGGTATTTCAGCAAAACCTTGTCCCTGCTCCTCCACTAATTCCAGAAATGTTCCTGTGAGGACAATAAGGAGTTACGAAATGAGAACATCTGCTTTTAAATTCAGAGAGGGTGCAGACAGCTTTCCATCCTCCCTCCCACCCCTAAGCAGCTTTGTGGCTAATTTAGCTCCCAAATGCATCACAGTCTCCCAAATCCGTTGTACCCATGAACTCTGGGGCTCAAATGGAAAAGGGGCTTTTGTGTTACCAAAACATGCTGATGCTTCTCTCAGCAAAACACAGGCGTGATACTGCAGGAAGGAGCAGTGGAAATATTTTGATTACGTGCAGGTGGAATTAAGCAGATGTTTGAAAAATGAAAAGCTGGTTTTTAAAGTCAGTCAGTGCTGGTGCTCCAGATGAAGCAGGATGAATGGGAGCATCTGGAAGCCTTGGTAACAGATTTCTTAGAGATTTCACAGAGATTTCTCCCAGGGAGTGATCAGATAATATGCCTGCTTTTTATGACAGGAGTTAAGCTAAAGAGTGTGGCTTACAGCTGCAAGGTGTGCAGACCAAGGACCTGCCTGCTTGCTGAGGCAGAGCAGATCATGGGCTGATGAAAAGGCAGCCCCTCTCCTCTGCCCCATTTCTCTGCTTTTTGACATCAATTTTACTCCCTGGAGCATAAAATTCATTGTTGTGTTCTCAGAAGAGCAGGTGAGCAGAGGCGCTTTTACCTAATCAAAGCACAACCATGGGAAAGGCTTTTGGGCTGCAAAGATGCTTTGAACAATCCCATTGTGTTTGAAAGGACACAAAGCTCCTGCAACACTGGTGCAGGCATTTGTGTGTACCCAGTCCATGTATGAAATACCCCAGAGTTTGAGGGTACACTGTGCATGCAGTGGGTCCCACCACTTCTGCCTGGGGCTGTGCAGCCTTCCCTAGGGCAATGCAAGGGACCATCTTTGTATTTCCCATCCTCATTCTTCAAGGTATAGTTGCTGGTTGAGGCTAGGAAGACCCTCAGCTCTTTTGGGACCTGTTAGCTGCTGGGGAGATCTTCTTTTCGGCTGCAACAGCCAGCACCAGGACTGCTCCTCTTGCCCCAACAAAAGGAAGAGGGGATCTGGAAGAGCAGACCATGGGTGTCTTTTGGCTGCCGAGGAGCCGACGGCCGGGCAGCATCAGGGCTATGCTGCATGAACTCGCCGCCAGCAGTAATTATGTTGTAGCTGGGTGGGAGTAATTATGTTGTAGCTGTTGTAGCAGGCTGGCAGGCAGCCCGTTTGTGGTGCCGTGAGAAGAGCCTGGCTCCTGGAGAGAGGGATGGGGAGCATGGAGGGAGCAGGGAACAAATCCTCTCTTGGTGGCTGCCACTTGGAGTGACACCTCAGGTGTGCTCCAAGCTCGGCCTTCCCTTACTGGACTGTTCCATTGCTTGTTGGGGGATGATTTGTGACCGTGTGCATCACCATGAGTCATGCGCAGGTCTCCCTTCCTGGGCTCTATCAGCTCTGCCAAGCACAAGGGCTTTGGGCTATGTTATCTGGTTGGAGAGCTGAGTGGATTCTTGGGAACGCCGCAGGTTTTGGTGCTAACCTCTCTGCCGGACCCTGAGGCTGTGGGAGAGGATGGTCTTGAGGACTGCAGTGACTAGTCTGGGATTTAAGAGTTTGCATTTGCTGTCATCCAGTAAGCACCACGTGCCAAAAATGACTGGAATTCACCCCATGGTCCTTCTGAAGGTTCACAGCTTCAGGCTGCAGTAAGTTTCTCTCCTGTCAATCATTGCCTTTTCCCCAGGCATCTTATTCCAGTCTGAGGAAGAGAAGAACAGGAAACTCTCTGGGGAATGGGCAAGAAAAATCTTACACCAGAAAAGAAAGGAGGGAAAAACATCTCTCTTGAGCAGAAATCAACTTATCCACTGCTGAGGACCCTGGAGAGGAGGAGTATCCATCCACCAGGAACATGAGGAGTATTCATCCACCAGGAACATAAGGAGTAGCATACACCATTAGCTACTCTGCCTCTCCCTGTGGACTGCTGGGAGACAGCAATAGTCCCTTCCGAGTGGGTTTGTCCTGTCCTGCTCTTCTCCACTCTCAGCTTTCCAGAGCTGCTAAATAAACAGCCTTAGGGAAAACGAAGGGGGAGAAGACACAAAACTCCCACAGAAATCCAGCAAGTGCAGCTGGTGGATTTACCCAGCTGTCAGTGCTGGGACACTGAGCCCTTTCCTTCCTGAAGGGTTGACTGGGAGAGCAAGGGGAAGGATGGGACTCATGAGGACCTTGTCCAAGTCTTGGGTGCAAGTGCGACTTTCTGTGTGACTTAGTTTAGGAATGTTCCGTCTCTCCTTTTTCTCCTAAGCCATTGAAATGTTTTATTTTTCCTGGTTTATCATGACTTTTGTGGCACAGAAAGGTGGTTGAAAACCCTCCCGTTTTTCATTCTCACAAAGAAGAGGAAACCAAAGTCCACTGTGAGGGTAAAGAGCAAGACTCTTCAGATAAACTACTAGCTGTAGGTAGTCAAAGCCAAGGACGGGTGTCCTACTCCCTAACCTCTGCACTGCACTGCCTGTGAGGCAAATCTTATGCTAGGAACACACCTGACTTCTTTGAAGGCAAACCTTTTGGGCAGGCAGGAAGCTGTGCTTCTCCTGCTTACCCATGCCACCCTCAGGGTGCTTCCCTGGGCTCTGGCAAGCTTAGATGTTGCAGATTTGGACATGAGGATGCTGCTTTTGTGCCTCTTCCTCTCTCTTGCTCCAGGAGCGTGGGTAGTGCTGAGTACCCTAAAATAGAAACTCACTCGTGTTCCCAACTCCACACTGAATCTGGCTCTGGAACAGGCTGAGCCATTGCCAAGTGGCTAAAACTTCTCACCATTACTTCTATTTGCATCACAAGAGTACCCGAAGGCCTGTCCCACAGCAGCAGACTGCTCCATGCAGGGCACTGTATAACACAGAGGCAGAGGAGGATGAGGGGAGGTCTGTGAGGGCTCTGCTGAGTTGCAGGACCTGCAGACCTCTTGCTGCAGGGAAGATTCACCCCTGGGCAAGACTATGCCAGTCCCAACAAGTTTAAAGCCTGAGCAGATGGGACAGCTCTGGAGTAAGGGCGGATGGACACTTGCCCTGGTCAGTGGCACAGGCAAGGAGCTTGCAGACCTCCATCTCCCACCCCTTTTCACGGGAGAGGGAACTGTGGATGTGTTGGAAAAGCTTCTCTCTCCCCGATGCAAGAAGCCCCTCAGTGGCTGAACACTGTATAAACAGCAGCAGCAGGCTCCCTCCCCTTTTCCATTTCTGTTTGTTAAACACACGCTCCCTGCCTTTCTGTCATTCAGGAGCTAACCCAGCATCCAGCCTTGCGATACGGGGGCTGTCAGTCACCCTGCAAGAGGGTGCTCTCCAGATGCTCAGGGTGGTACTGAAGCTACCCCCAGCGATGAGGCACCCTCCAGCAGCCTGGATCCTCACCTGACTTCCTTGCTTTTCCGAGGACAGTCACAGAAAAGTGCTTTTCACCCCTTTGCCACAGGTTGACTCCCAGAGAGTGGAGAGGACCAAGTGCTCCATCCTGGCCAGCAATGAGACAATAACTTGAGGTGAGCAGCTCGGTTCCTGGAGGAGGAGGATGCTCTGGTCTGGCCTTTGCAGGTGGGCTGGGGAGGGCTCATCTGTATGGCAGGGCTGGGGAACGGGGGCGGGGGGGAGTGGGGCAGGTCTTGTCCATGACACATGGTCCAGGAAAAAAAGGTACAAGTATCTTCGGGAAACTGAATTTTGGGGTCTGGCAGCTGCGAGATGGAATAGAGAGAAAGTGAACAAGAAACACTGGCAGGAGTTTCGACAGGGAGTCTGGGAAGCAGGATGCTGAGGGAGAGCAGGGAGGAGAGCAGGTTGTTCCAGGGAGGCTGTACAAACCAGGCATGTACAGGGACAGAGCCGCAGGTGTGGGGCTGAGGTGCGTGGCTGCCTGAGAAATCCGTATCTCTCCCACAGTCTGCCTCCTCGTGGCTTGGTTCAAACCTCCTGTCAGCTCCTCCATGCTGGGACTGCACATGTTGCTGGCACTCGGCTCAGTCAGAGATCAGTGCCCTCAATGAGAGATGCAAAGGGAAATACAGGTCTGCAGGAGGAAAACTGGTGCTTGCTTTCTTTCTGTGCTCACTGCATGTTAACTGTTGAACAGAGGAAGCCTTCTGTAGTCCTGTTGTAGCCTGCATTTTACCTATGGAGTTTCTGGTCTGTCCCAAAGGAGGATACTGGGTTTTCTCCCTGGTTGTTCGGTTGGTTCTTACTTCCCTCTCCTCCCTTGTCTCATCTACCCCAGCCTCCCCAGATTTAAGGAGGTAACAGACTCCCCAGGGTGATGAGGATCCCTCCACCAAGCTCTTCCCTTCTGCAACCCCAGAAACTGGTGTGCCTCTATTGCAGCATCACCTGTTGAGCCCTGTCTCCTAGCCAGCCTTGTTCTGCTCCAGTGGTGTGTTCCACAGGGCAAGGAGTCCTGCTCTGTTGCCCCCTGCTTTCTGTAGGAGAGATTTCCAGGAGAAAGCATGTATCCTTGCCAAATGGATCTCTTCTCATCACCATTTTTTTTTGTCCTGTCCTGAGCTGACTGCCTAAAGCATCCTTCTTGCCTTGTCCCCTTCAGTCTTCTCTGGCTTCAACCTAGGCAGGGACCTGCAAATACCTGGAGCGAGGAACCACAAGTATCCCCTCCTCCTTGCACTTTGTCTCCCAGTGCCAGTTCTACACCGGGGTCCCCTAAAAGCAGCTCCAGGGCCCTGGAGCTTTGCACATGCAGAGCTGGCAATGTGTGTCTTATGCCATGAGGTTTCTGCACCAATGGGCCTGATCTGGGTAGGTAACTTAGAAAGATGCAGAAGACAGTGGGCAGGTCAGAGGGTCTTCCCTTCTGCAATGGTGTCATAGTGGGACAATCACCCCTTCACTGGAGATGGAAGAACCTGGGACAATTTCTCTCTGCCGTTTGGCTTCAGGAAATCACCCCAGAGCTGCTGTTCGTCCTGAAGCCAGTCCATTGCACAAAGAAGGCAAAACCCTTCCCCTCCATCACTTACACTTTGCATTTTCATGCAGCTTCTGAAATCCATGTTCAGGTTTTATCCTGAGAGATGCAGAGTCCTCTCTGGTGGGGAATGCAGAAGGCTGGAGTTAGCAAACTTGGGCTCTGTTCCCAGCCCTGCTGTGGATGTACTGTGTGGTCTCTGGCAAGCTGATTTAACCTCCATATCTCAGTTTAATGTGTTCTCCTCTTTCAAGTGCTGTGCTGTGTGGTGCAGGGCTTCAGCCCATTGCTGCCTCTCGAGTGCTGTAGGGGAACATGAAGGTGGTAGAAGGTGGCTTCCCCAGGGTGACAGCTGGGTTCTGGTGATGAGGAATGGTCTCAGACCTCCTTGCCACAGACACCTGCCTGCTGCCAGCTATGGGACTGGGGATGAGCACTGGGAGCCAGTGTTCCAGACAGCTGCTGGAAATGAAGGGTTTCATGCAGTTGAGATGCTTTGGAGGAAGGACACAGCAGAGAATAAGTCAGTGAGCCAAGCCATGGGAGTATTCATCAGCCTCAGTGCTCACACCCCAGCGCTGCTGTAGGGGAAGGTTGTGGCTGCCATTAGCCAGAGACCAGAGGCTGGTCAAAGTCCCTCCACTCCCTCCCTTCCAACCCACAATTACTGTGATAGAATTACAATTGCTGGCTACACTCTGAGCAATCTTTGCCCTTACCTCCCTCTTTCCTGCACCCCTTGTCCCCACACCACGTGCCTGCTGGCTGCAGCAACCCCAGGCTTGCTTCCTGGGACAAAAAGAGGAATTTTAATTAACAAGCTCTGTTTTCTCCAGCCTTCTGCCCACCCCTCCAGCCCTGCTTTCTGAACCCTGCCAGGCTTTGCAGATGGCTCTTCTAGGTCTGGATGTGCCCTGTCAGAGCTGGACCAGGCTGTCTGTGGTTGCAGCAGGGTTGCAGCAGGGACATGGAGGGAGCTGGGCTTTCCCGAGGAAGCAGAGGTGCATGTGAGTCGCAGGACACCTAAACTTGGCCTGCTGTAGGAATGGATTTTGGAGTTGCCACGGTGGTCACTGTCCCTCTCAATCACGGACAGCAGAGTGCTTAGCAAAGAGCTGAGGTTTTACAGCTCCTCTGTGCTTCCTCCCTTCCCAAAGGCTGAAGCCTGCTGGCACAGGGAAGTTTTCTGCCTCCTTGGGAGCCTTCCCTGGGTCCCAGCCCTGCCTCAGGCTGAATCTCAGCTGGAAGAGATGGTGAGGGCAGGATCTAGGCAATGCCCTGTTTCTGTATCCCTTCATGGCAGCCCAGCACAGAGGAAAGGGCTCAGGTTTATTTCTGTCTACTCCTGGTCTGCCATGCTGCTCTGTTCTCCCAGAGCAGTTGTGTCTCTGCTCCAAGGATTTTTCCATCTAGCCTGGCAGGCCTGCTGGGCATGGGAGCGTGTGCCTGCAGCAGCCTAGACATATGCCAGTTCTTCCATTACTTGCTGAACAGACCTCAGTCCACTCCTAGCAGCATCCCTGTGACCTCCAGGCAGCCCCTGGAGTGGGAGCACTTGTTATGACCATTTTGTGTCTTAATTAAAATGCCTTAATTGATTTTTAATAGTTCTCCTTTGGAAAAAAACACAAAGCAAAGCAAATCAAATAATAACTCCATTAAGGCCATTTTGTTAGGAAGCCAAACAGCTTCAATAATCACGATGTTCCTGGCTCCTCTCAGATAGTGGGTAGCTGCCAGTCTCCAGTGAAAGGGAAAAGCCTGAGATGTGAACATGTGAACTGGCAACCAGTTGGTGGGTGAGGTAGGTAAAAAGGGAACAGAGTGTCCATTGGTGCTGTGCCAGGACTTGGGTACTGAAGGTGAATGGGCAAGTCACAGAAAAGGGGTTACAAGTGACAGTGATCAAGTAATGCCTGTTGCCTTGCTCTGAGTCCCACTGCATCAGCTGCATGGGGTAGCCTGGAGGTTGTCTCTCCTGCTGCAGAAACTAGGACTTTTCCAGGGCTGAGGGCAGTGGTGTTGTGGAGATCGGAGACCACTCTTTAGCAAACCCCTACCCCAGCAAATCCACCCCTTTTTTCCTCCTGCTGCCTAGAGCTACCTTCTTATCCTCTTAGGTAGCTGTATGGCATCCATTATCACAGTATTTGAGCCCAGCAACTCCACGTACAGGAATCTTTGGCCTAAATTGGCCAGCAGTTAGGCAAGTTAGGCAAGCCAAGGAACACGGAGAGGGCAGGAGAAAGCAAGTGTGCAAGCAGGGGCTATCTAACATAGGCAGCTCTTTTGCAGCCCCTAGGAGCAGCTCCCAAGGGGGAATCACAACCCTTACTCTGAGGAGTGCTGAAAGAACAAGCAGAATTATTCATTGCAACTTAATCACTGCCACCTTGACCATCTTGCCAGCATTATTTTATGTTGTTTGCTTATGGAACTGGCTGAAATGCAGTTTCAGCATTTCATAAACTGTACAAAAAAGCATTCCCCCTTTCCCAGGACAGGCTGTCCTTAAACACTTGCCTGGCAGGGTATGGGACTTGCAGGAAGCCCACCAGCACCCAGTTATCAAATGCTCCAATCTCATCTGATACAAACCCAGACCAATTAGTTCCTCAGTTGAGAAGGTTCACAGCAGTGTGCTTCTAATTCCCAGCTTCATTTAAGCCCTCAGTGGCAGGGCATTATCCCCTCCCTCTGCAGATCAGAGAAAACACAATGCTCTGCAGACCACCCTGTTTGGGCACAGTCATGACTTTTGCTCACTTTTGATCAAGTGTGCAGTGGGAATGAGGGCCCCACACAGTGCTGGGGAGATGGGACATGTAAGGGGCCATGTCCACCCCTCTCCGCATACCCCAGCAGCAATTCTGAGCCACGGAGGCTCAGAAGGAGCCAGTAACAGAGCTGGCTTTTCTCCTGCTGTGTTTGGATTCTATGATACCCCTGTCGTGACAGCACTCTGCTGTTACAATGGCACCAAATGCCAGCTGTGGGTTCCAGCCCGAGTCAGTTCTGGCTTATCAGCCAGTCTCCCTGCTCCCAAAGCCATGCTCACACAGACATTTGAGCACCACGTGGCAGGAGCTCACTGATGCTGCAGCTTTGGCTCTCAGGCCTGTTTGTGCCTTGAACGCTCAGCAACAGCTCTGCAGGAGGCTGGTTCACAGCTCCAGCAGTTTGCCCCCTGCAAAAGCCCCTGCAGGTGCTCCCTTCTTTGCACAGCCAGCACAGACTGGGTGTCACTGACATGGAGGGGACAGACAGGTTCTTTTAGGGACCCTTGGCAGTGATGACAGCACTAAATCGTGGTTACAATTGATTGATTGATTGATGGCTTTAAAGCTTTGTTATCTTAACAGGATATTATGGTTAGTGTAGCACAGGATTTCTATAAGCCAAATCCATGTAGTACAATCTACAAGTAGTGCAGTACAGAATTTATGATGCAGCTTATGATATCTGATCACCTAAGTAATACACAGTTTATAATACAACAACTTATAATCACCTGAACCCTCTGCAGATCAGGTCAAATTCTAATACATGGTTTGCTGTACCCATATAACAATCATCATCTAGTCTTAAAAGACCTATGAAAGCATAAGAGACACACTCAGTCCTCGAAGGGAACAGAGGATGGTGGGGGTGTCCCTGGCTATGGGTCTCACTGTCCAGTAGTTCCCCACTTAGGACTTGAAAATGCTAGATTTTACGGCCAGTGCTGTGTGCTGTTGTGCTTCCTTGTTCTGTAATGGGGTCATCAACAGCTGCCTGACTGGGTGCATGGGACCTTCAAGGCCAGACAGGAAGCAAGTAATCATCCTGGCACCAAGGAACCTTGAGGCTGGCAGGGGAGGAAGAAAACTGTTTGGTTTCTCTAGCTGGTTCACAGGACCTTCAGGGCCTGATAGTGAGGGAAAGGGAATAATACATGACCTGCTTGCTCACAGAGAGTAGCTGCTTGCCTCATAAAATGGTATTAGTTTTGTGAACCACATTACCATGGGCTGGGAGCAGGGTCCACTGGGTTGAGTTGGGTAGTATCACTAGCAGGAGCAGTGGTGGAGACTCATGCAGAGACAGGGTGACAGATATACTTTCACCTGGAGAGGTGAGAAATAAGAAACTGAAAAATCCTGGTGCACAATCTGGAAATAAACAGCTATGGGGAGCTGGAGAAGAACCCATGAATTTGATAATGTCTTGTTTTTCTCCTTTCCTATTTTTTAAGGAGTTAGGACTCAGGTTTTTTTTTTTGTAGGCCAGTAAATCTCATCAAAGATGACTGACACCACAGCGATTGCTTCTGTCAGCCCCAAGTGGTCCCAGATTTTTGGCTTGCTCGAAGTGACTTCCCTGTTTTGGAAAGCCTAGCCTGAGGAAGCAGAAGAGGCAGCATGCAAAGGGTCTCCATGAGCAGCAGATCTCTTCAGGACCTACCATTCTGGCCCTGGCTAGTTGAGGGCTTTCTTCCCCATTAGTTTCAAATAAACAGAATCTCAGAAGCCTGGGTGAAATGTTGCATTTTTCCCTGACATTTCCTTGGGGAACTGGCATTCAACTGATCATAGGTTCTAACAGGAAGTGTAAGAGAGCTGCAAGACTGTTCAGTATGAGAATGGGTGGGGGGTAAGGGAGAAGGAAGGAGGATGTCACCACTGCTGCTGTTTAGCCCAAAATGCCATGTGGGACATGCCCTTTGAGTCTCAATTCTTGCAGATGCTCTGCTGTCTACTGAGCTCTCACTTCTGCTGTGACTGTGTTCCAGACCTCCTTCACCTCCTGACAGAAAGTCTCAGGCCACACATGGGCCCATTGGAGGGAGCCAACAGCACTCTCACCATGGAGAAGACAGCATTGGAGGAGAAGCTGCCACAGGGCTGGCATGCCAAGGACTTTGTCACTCCTAGCCAGGATCTCTCTGGGTCGCGCAGTGTTATGATGGACAGCACCAAGATCCTGGGGGTGCAGGTTGTTCTGATTGCTGCCTACTCCCTCATCATTCTCCTGGGGTTCATAGGCAACTCCTTGGTCATTTACATCATAGTGAAGTACAAGACCATGAGGACTGTCACCAACTTCTTCATAGCTAACCTGGCCCTGGCAGATCTCATGGTGGACACACTCTGTCTGCCCTTCACCCTAGTCTACACGCTGCTGGATGAGTGGAAGTTTGGGGCTGTTCTTTGTCATCTGGTTCCTTATGCTCAAGCTCTGAGTGTCCATGTGTCCACTCTCACCCTAACTGTGATTGCCCTGGACAGGTATCGGTGTATTGTTTTCCACCTGGACAGCAGGATTTCCAAGAGGCTCAGCTTCACCATCATTGCTGTCATGTGGCTAGCAGCAGCTGTGCTGGCAGGTCCTCTGGCCATCTTCAGAGAGTACCGGTATGAGGAAATCCCATCCATCAACCTCAAAATGGCTGTCTGCTCAGAAAAATGGCCTTCTGGCAATAACAGAGATGCCACCATCTACAGCCTGTCCATGCTCCTCCTGCAGTATGTCTTTCCCCTTGCAATTATTTGTTTTGCCTACACCAGGATCTGGTTCAAGCTGAAAAACCATGTCAGCCCTACTTCTAGGAATGAAAACCAGTGCCGGAGGAGGAAGACTACCAAAATGCTAGTGATGGTAGTTGTAGTATTTGCAGTCTGTTGGCTCCCCTTCCACATATTCCAGCTTGCCATTGATCTTGATCTGGTCCTTATCTTCCATGACTACAAACTCCTGTACACTGTTTTCCATGTCGGCGCCATGTGCTCTACATTTGTCAACCCTCTGCTCTACGGATGGATGAACAAGAACTACCGGAATGGCTTCCTCATGTTCTTCCGTTGCCAGAACAAGCCAGAAAGCATCCACACTGAAGGCTCTGTTAGAGGGAGGTCGTACATCTTCAGGGCCAGCACCCTAAATGGAAGCATCAAACAGACTCCTGGCAATGTACCACTGCCCACGGAGGTTTAGGGATGGGACATCCACCTCTAGGACTGGGGCTGACTGAGCCCAGAGACATTCTTGTGTGAATGCCTTTTTTTGGCAGAGCATTGTGTTGCCAAAACGTTATAGCTACTGCAGGCACGTAGAAGCACCCCCTGTATCTCGCAGAACAATAAACCTGATGTATTTCTGTCTGACCAAACAAATGAATTTCGCTTTCTCTGCATTCAAGTTACGCATGCAGGAGCATGAAAAATCACACAGAGGAGGCTTTCATTTAGCCAAATACGCCCTTTTGCTATTTCCATTTGCCAAAATGGGTTGTTCAACCTTTTATGCTCTGACATATTACACATTACAAATGCAGAACCTTATTGTGTATGTTTCTTCATCTGTATGTCTCCTACCCAAAAGCCTTAATGTTCCAACTTTAGCTAATGTCTCCAAGGGGAGGGAGACCTACGCTCTTCTGCAAGCATGGGCTGGCTAGTGCCATCACTCTGGTGTCCTGCGAAGGGAGCAGGTTGAAGCACGTTGAAGCTGGGCAATCCATGATTTCTTGCACAGCATTTGCATTAATCTGTATTTGCAACCCATGGGATGAGCTCAGGTCCTCAGAAAGCCCAGGAGGTGGCAGTGACACTACTTACCACAGCTTCCTTTACAAGTGCAAGAGCAAGGCTATGGGGGCACCTCATTAATCAGGGAGCTTGTGAGCCAGTGCTCTGGATTTTGCAAGGAGGAGAGCAGGCAGAGAAGTGGATAGGAAAGACCTGGGGCAGCTGGTCAAGGGAACTGAAACTGAACCTAGGAGATTAGCAAAGGTGATCTCCACACCCTAAAACCTTGCTCCTGGCATGCAATAACTTGATGGCTGCCAGCATGACCACAGGCAGATCTACCAATGACACCATCCTCCAAAGACACCATTCTCCAAAGCACTTGGTGGTTTTAAATCTTTACTCTTTCTGTGGTTGGAGGTAGCATAGATCGGGTGCTTCAGTTTAGAAGACAGATGTAACCTGCTTGCATGATTGTCACAGATGTGGCGTCCCCTGGCAGAAGAAGACATGCAGACAAAGGAAGATGTATTCTATCAAACCAAACTATATGTTCTCCTCTCTAAAGCTGTCAGCTGAGGAGCGTATTTTTAGCTCCGCCATCAAAGGAGCCTTGATTGCTACTGTGATCTCAGCAGCTAGTCATTGGGGTTGTCTGTAAAAGTCAGTGTTAATCAGATTGGAAAGTAACTCCCAGGTGCAGGAAAGAGACTTGAGAGACCTCCTCATTAAAGATAAAAAGAAAACCTTTGATTTATAGGTCTTCCATGGAGCAAGGACAAGAGGTAGGAGGATTGCAGTCCTGAGGACACCAGCCTGGACCAGGCTGCTGGGCTTGTCACATCTGGAATCCTCAAGAGATGAACTGTCAAAGGACTTATTTGATAGTCCAGCTCTCCTGCTCCCTCCCCAGCTTGCTCTGCCTACGGCCCTTGTTCTCCAGCTCAGCTTACGACTGCCACACTAGATTTTAGTCTCTGTTTATTTCTCTGATCCCCTGCTCTGTTTTCCTAACTAGGTACAAGAAAGCGTCACTGGTTCCTTCCCAAAAGACATCACTGCCAGGCAGGGCCTGCAGCCCACTCTCCATACTTGGAGTCATGGGCATGCTGATGTCTAATAACCTCCCCAGCACCTGGTCCTGCAGGTCACAGCCTGTTTTTCTTTTCATGGAGCTTCTGGATCTGTGAAGATCCTATTAGGAAGTCATTGATGTTCCAGTGAGAGGGTCATCTCCTTCCTTACAGGCCACAACATGATAAGAGAGCCAGGGCATAAGTAAGCCTTTGCCATGTGATGTGCTGTGGCGTGGTGGTGGGAGTTTGTTGTTTCAACCTGATGAAAAGAGGAGGATATTCTCCTCCACAGCACTGGTAAATTCTGTCCCTGCCTAATGAGCTGGTCATTTCTACAATCCATCCTCCTGAGGAACTCTCCCCCTATTTCCACAAAATTCCAAGATACAAAGAAATATTTATGTTTCAAAAGCAGCTTAAATGAGTGGAAAGAATTCAACTATTACCAATAAACACTTCACAAAGTGATTGAACACTCAATAATATATGTCAGTGTAAAGTAACACATTCAGCAATACAAGCTTGGAAGCCAATCATGCTGCCAGCTGAGATGGATGAGGAACTAAATTGCTCTTCTAGGGGCCTTGCCAAAGGTTTTGTCCTGTGACATCACACACTGTATCTGACTGCAGAGCAAGGCAGATAATGACATTATGAATGACTGTTTAATTTTGAGCTCAGACTTTTAAACTAAATATGGATAAATAAATAAATAGATCCCACCTATTCACAAATAAATACTGGCAGCAGCATTTATAGGGAAGAAGTATTTTTATGCTGGAGCAAACTGAGAAGGAGAAATTATTTACTTCAAGTGTAATAGCATCATTCTGTTGGCTTTATTTAATGCACCTGTGCAGTTTTACTGATAGTTTTCTGCTTGCTGCCTTTTCCTTGCTATTGGACTATACAACCTTTCACACCCACTGCTGGCAACAAACTGGCTCTTGGTTGTGCGTATACACCCCTGTGGAAAACCACGATGCCTCTGTTGAGGGACAGTGGCCCTAGTGTCCGCCGCCAAAAAGAACAAGAGAAGGTGGAGAGCAAGGAAGCAAAGCTTCTTACCAAAAGTTGATTTGGGAAAACAAATAGAATGTTATAGACTATCGTGACTGTGTTAAAGGCAGGAATGAGTTTGCTTCCATGAAACAGAAATCTGTTAGAGGTGAAGGTTCCCCAAATACTAACATTGCTAAAGATGGCTTTACTGCCATGATCGGTTCCATGAAACCAACGACCAGAAGCATTTTAAGTTTTTGAACTACTTAGAGCTTGGGACAGAGTAGGAAAAACCCAGCTCACCCTGCTGTATTGGTGTCAAGGGCAGATCCTGTAGGAGTTACAGATATTTTTGGAGTCAAAGGCATCTTCCTGCTGCCTGCTCCTTGACGAAGGTGCCTCAGTGAATGCTGGCCAAGCGGGGCTCCCCTCTGCAGAGCTGGTCCTGGTGTTCCTGATGTGGGATGGAATGATTCATGTCAACAGCACAGCTGGTAGGGATACGGCATTTCATTAAAGGGTTAGGCACACAGTGACAAAAAATGGAAATGACCAAGTGTTTCAGCAAAGCTTGTCTGGAAGACAGTGTTCCTGATGACCAAATGAGAATCTTCTGGGGATCTTTCTGATTCTTGATAACATCCTTCTCAAAATGCTGCTTCACTCAACTCAACCAAGGATATTTCACAGCTTTTAGGAGGGAGATTCTAAGTTCCCCAAGAAATACCCTATTTCTCATGCTGGGAGACCCCTTCTGGTCACACCATACAAATCTTGTATTATAAAATGTACCACTGAACAGTTTGATTGCCAAGCAAGTCCTAGCAGATGATTAACTCTGAATAGACACCACAGGTATCTAACTATCCCATGCAACCATGACTCACATGCCAGACAAATACAACAACAGCTGAGATGTGGCAACAGCATCATTCAAAACCAGCAGCATCAGTAACTGCTGTTTCCGACTACAAGCTGCTGTAAGAGCCCTCGAGTCCCAGAGTCTCTTACCAAACTTTCAGGCTTGACAAAGCACATTGAAATTTGCAGAGCAGGAGCTGTGCTTTGGACACTGGAGGCTCTGCAAGCACTAGAAATTTTGCCTCTAAAACACAGTTTGCTCTGAAAATCCTTTCCCATTTGATTTACAAAGTATGTATTTCTGTAACAAGCTCATGTGTGTAAAGAGAACAAAAATTTGGACTTTTTACTTTTCGTTGTCTTAAGGCAATATATAGAGCTGGCATTTAGATCAGTGCAGGGTGATCTGGGTCCTTCGGTCAGGGCTCTCTTAGAATCAAAGATGTGACACACTCCTGTGATGCCTGTGCTTCATTCTGCTCCAACAATGGCCACATCCATCCTTTGGTGGCTCTCTGCCCTGTAGTAACATGTGCCCTCTCCGATTACCCACAGCAGTCCAAGCAAACAATGTCAAATGGCACATGTTTTATTCAATATTCCACAAATGCATCGGCAGAAACACTGCTCTGAACTTTTCACAGAGGCTCTGTAGGGACATACACACCAGGCCAGGAAAGCAGCAGTTCTAACGTATGCTAATACGAGAAGGGTTGGAGTGCCATTCTGCTGAAGGAGGTCACAGACAGCTCAGCATTTCCCTAGATATCAGGTGTTAATCTTATCAGCGTTCCAGCTAACATGGTCTGAAAACAAATCAGCTTTTGTTTGGGCAGGAGCTGTGGGGTTGGTGCTTTCTTTCTTTGCATGCCTTTGTCTTTTGGCTGTATTATTGCATTATTTCAACAGAGTCTCTGAATGTGCTAGGTTTTAAATCAGGCCTCAGGATCAGCTAACCTGGTGAACAACAGGAATTACTGCAATAATCCAGAACAAAAAAGTTTTCTGTATTCATGAAGGAGCAGAATTTGGCCCCTTGCATTTGAAAAAAAAAAATCAGAGCTTTGTGTTCCTTTCAGTTTTCCTTTATCTAGCTTGAGATTCTTCAAGTGCCAAAAATAATATTGCATATTACTGCCAGAACATTTATCTTCTCTTTGAGCTCATTTCAGAGAAAGGATTTGTTCAGGAGGGCCTGGAAGAGGAAGAAGGCAAGGGTTTTAAAACTCATCCTTATCTCTAGTCTCAGTGTTTTGTAAGTTAAAAGACAAATCAGAAAAAGACAAAGTCACTCACACACACCAATGGAGGTACCAATTTATCTTCAGACAACACAACCTCCATTTAATTTTCTATCCAGACACCTCAGCACCCTTTGCCAAAGCATTGTGTGTATATGGGGCTGAATGAGGTTGTGGGAGGAAAGCATTTTTCTCCTGCTAATAGCAATACCTTAGTGCCACTCATGATTTATAGCCACCAAAGAATGCTTTTTCTGGTCTATGTTCTGCTCGGTGTAATGAGAACAAAAAGAAAAGTGCGGATGCCTCATGGAGTTCACAGGAGGAGATCTTCATTAGTTCAGTCCTCTCCAGTGTGGTAGCAAAGACTGTGAACATTAGAGGAGAAGCCGTTTTGTTTATAACTAGCTGATTGAAGTGCACAAGCATGGAGTTGTCACCGTGACACTCTGCTAATGTGTCACAAACTT